ATAATGCCCTTCAATTACCAACGAGTGTGTATGATATAAATTTATATAGTACTCTGGAGTTCCAATCAAAACTGTCATTCCATTTTGTATTTTTAAATTTTACTATCTTACTTCTAGACATTATTAGTTAGAATCATATGGCCCGCTTTCGTTACCAAGTCAAGTGTCAGATTGATTAGTAAGGGGACATAAACGTGGACAGTTTAGTAAGGCCAGTGTTGCGCCGATACACCGGCACAGTGTCGGATTTTATTCCTACCATTACTAATATTAAAAATCTGAATATTTAGATGAATAGATATTTCTTGGAAGGTATCTCCAGAACGGCTGTATCATATTTGACATAAATGTAAAGCATAATCTGAAAGAAATAGGCTACTAATTAAGTTTTATTTTATATCTGCGCGAGCAGAGTCGCTGGTGACAGCTAGGATGCAAATATTTTATTTGACAATGTAACTTTTAAATAAAAATTACTTGTAATTTTTTTAAACTTGTACCATACACAATAGGTCTATTACCTTCCTTGTGCAACTAAACTGTTTACTCGTTGTGTTAACGGCGGAAAACTGCATTTAATTCTTATTCTCAGTACATTACGCTGGAAAATAAAAGGAAAGGTTTCTTTGTGCCTAAGAATGTACAAACGCGTTTGTATTTTTAATTTTCTAAAGGCTTTTTTTATATTGCTCGTGGAAATTATTACTCAGCAAGACTGGTACTTCGTAGTACCTTTTATTCTCTTTCGGAAAAGTAACAAATGTTGCAGGAATCTTAATATCTTTTGTGTATCCATAAAATAATTCAAGCGTATTCAGAATGATTTTTAATACAAACAGTACATACTCAATATTGCCCCTTCTCTAGGTTGATGTATGTATGTTCTTGTTTTATCCTATAATAGTTTCGATTATTAAATATTAGTTGATTAACCTTATTTATATAATATACTTTTTCTGACTGATAAAAATCTCACTCGTCGCAACTTTTTTTATACCACTAAATCAAGTCGATTTTTTTTTAATATGTAAAATATTTTAAGACAATAAAGTATTTTGTGTAAAATCAGATTTTTATAGTTTAAATTTTAAATAAAATAAAATCTTTGCTTCAAAAAGCACCCAATAGATGGCGCTATGCATTTCATCATCAGCTCACTATACGTCCCCACCGAGGGGTTCGGAGCCTTCCCTAAGCTAAGGGTGATTAGGCTATAGTCAACCACGCTAGCCAAGTGCGGGTTGGTTGGCTATGCATACCTTCAGTTAATCGGGTTATTTGTTTTTTTTTTCTTATAAAAATTAAGTTATTCTCTATTAAAGACGTAAAAACCTAAAACGTAAAAGTAATATTTAAAGGAATACAAGAACTTTTCTTTAAACTTTTAACAAACCCCAATGTGATGTTATTCTGGCCACAAACGAAGCATAAAAATCAATGATCTACAATCTTCAAACAGCGATTTCACACAACAGGGCACGGGTACGTCGAACCCTAAGGAAACAGCACTTCCTGTACGCCCGCTGCCAAGTCTTGCACGGTTCACTTTCCACAAAACTGCTACGATAACTGCAAACAGTCATACCTTTTGCTACACATTGACGGAACTCTGTTTACTTTACCCCATTTTTTAAAAATACAATAGCAGTTTCTAACAACCTATAGAAGTTAAAAGTAAATAAAAAACAAAACTTGTCAAAAAAGTAAATTCTCGCAACACATTTTTTTTACCGTAAAGTTGAAAAAATAAATTATGCACCTCTTCTACTGATGATAGTTCAACGTAAGATGTTATATTGAAATCTGGAAGAAACATTTACTTAACCGATTAAGTAGAATTTTATGCAAGATATTTTAACGCAAAAATGTACATAATACAATTTATAATACGCTATGTAATTCACTGTGTAATAAACTTGTCCTACTAGCTTTTTTCTACAAGTTTACAGTTGAAGCCTTGTAACATTAACAAGCTTAAAGGGTTTACTTAAAAGACTAGACATTTTGATCTTATTAAGTCATCGAATGTGTACTTCTTCCGTTGAAAAATTAAATGAAGTTTATGATAATATCATTTGTTATTAATTAATGTTTTAATTATATTACTAACATTTGTACTAAGACCAAAATCTATATATAAAACCTATCGTCATCCCTGTTTCTATCTTTAATAAAACACTGATAATATGTTTTAAACGGGAATTTTGTTCTCAGAAACTCACAATAAATATGTCATGAGTTATAAAAATAAATATATCTAATTAAGCGAGGTAAATCCAGAGACATCCATATCAAGAATAATATCGAACTCTATAAACTCTGTAACCCAGTCTGAACTGTCAATACTCCATATTTTTAAATAAGTATTTAGATTTTAATTATTACGAAATGGTTACAATATCATCAATATGTAATGTAAATAATACATTTAGAGAGACAAAGCGTTAGCAAAGTGATCGTCAGACAAAGGAAGCCGTGTCTATGCGATGTTTAGGTATTGTTCGTCACGAGCTCGGCGCACGCCACATTAATTTACGGAATGAGTCGCGTCTCCTGTCTCGAGAGCTTCCCACTTCACAAACCGTTACGAATTTGTCTTCTGAAACATCATTTTAGTTTAACAAATATTAGTAACCTCAATAAAAAATTAATTCACTGCAAAAATGTGTTAAGTAGGTTTGATATTGCTTCAAAGTCAGATTGTATGCTGTAAATTTGATTCCGTCGCAATGTCGTGTCCAACTTTATACCATCAGACAGAATCCTTCCGCATTTTACGCGTTTCTATTATTTAGAAATAAATAGGTATCATTATCAATTTGAAAAAGAGTGCGAGATGTTTGAAACTGATGAATAAATAACGTGAATCTATGTAAAAGAAAGCTAGACAAAGTTTGGAGTATAATTATCTTTCTGAAGTTCTCACCTATTTCGTAATGTTTTACATCGAATTAACATATGTATTATGTATGTCGTTAACATATAACTTGTATCCACGTATGTACTATTTAGCAGCATGTGTTCAAATTTGTATATAATCACTGTGAACATTCTCGCAAAGGGCGGAACAAGATTAAACTCGACACACATGGGAACGTTGTAATTTGGAATGCGTATACTTCTGGTCTATATGGCAACATTTGGAAGATTTATAGATTTCATAATGCCCTTGCTACCTCAGTGATAATCGTAAAATTTTATGTTTCCATGTTTATTTCTTACAATATTTACATATAAATGCGAATATTTAGATAGATGAATGTTTGCTTGAAAGTATTTTCAGAACGGCTGAACGGTTCTGGATGAAATTTGGCATAAATATTGAACATAGTCTGAAATACATAGGCTACTAATTATGTTTTTTTTTGTGCACGAAAGGAGTCACAGGCAACGGCTAGTATTTAGTTAATATCAAAGATGTTTTACATAATATCTAAGTACTTACGTTTTATAACAGAATGTATTTATTATTAAAAAAAATGTCTGTACGTATAAAAATACTTAATGTACTGTTACATTAATATTTCTAAAGGTAAAGAAAGACGTTCAGAACAAAAAGAACATTAAAGTGTAAAAGAAAACAACATTACTTATGTCGAAGTGGTCGTTAAGTTTCTTTTTGGTCTATAATTTAGGAGCATCGTAAATTTCTAGTTCGCGAACTTAATGTGTTTTCGATTGTTTAAGTAACGAAATCCCCTCTTTGAGACAAAACAGATCCCAAAGTAAAGAAAATATTGCGTGTGTATAGAAGATTTCTTCACTGGTTTCCAAAAACAAAGTAAGCAATTATTTTTCTCTTCTAATAAAGTCCTCTACTATTTTCAGTACAGTATAAAACAGAATTATAGTAAAACAAGTAACTTTTACATTTGAATTTAACGTTGTAGTTAAAATAACAAATTTATTTTTTCAAAATTTGTATGTTAAACCTAAATTTATACATTACTAGCTATCGCCTGCGCGAAATAAAAAAAAATGTTAGCCTTTGTGTCGATACTATCTTTAGCAAATCTCAGTAAGAAGAGATGGATCACACACATCAATCCAGATATTCGAATTTATTATATTAGTAGCATTGAATGAATAAAAACTTTTTGTTCACTTACACACTGAAATTAACATAAAAGCCAAGTCCGGCAAAGGTCGCACGTCTTTATTCTAAATCTCACAAGAATGTCCATTGTCCTTGCAACCCTTTCGATCCGCAATACACAACCCTAGTATTTTATTCTTGACTTTTATTGGGACATTATTTTCGTATTTACCCCTTTTGGTCAAGCTTTAAAAATAAAAGTTCTTGAATGTATTACATCCTTTACTGCGGACCTTAAACAAGCATCAATCAATATTCTTTTTTTAACATTTGTTTTAAATGTGTCTAAAAATTCTAGATATCGTATCATATTTCTGATTTCATCTTTAACTTCTGATTTCCAAAAATTGTAAAAAAATATTTTTGTATCTGTACAAAACAATTTTCTTCTAAAATTTTAAATGTGTTTCCTTCCTAATAAATATATCAAAGTGTCTTTTATAAAATTATTCAAAGGAACACGCAAATTTATTTACTGCACAGGAAGTTGTTACTGCTATTAATAAAAAAGAAGGGACCCTTCTCGTCTATGAATCTGGAGTTGACAACATAATTTTCACCATTATTATATATTTTTTGCACAAAAAATTTTAAGACATGTGTTATGCGTAATTTTAAAGATTTATTTTGTAGCTAAATCAATTGAATACGAGATATGAATTTTAGAAAATTCTAAACAAACCTACATCATATATATATATTTATATAAACAATTGCTATTCGTTACTCTCGCTAAATACTCAAGAACGGCTGAACGGATTTATCTTATCTTGGTCTTGAAATATTCGAGGAGTTCTAGGGAAGGGTTAAAAAATGAGAAAAGTCCGAATAATTGCCGGGAATTAATTTTTTTTTTCATTCCACGCGAACGGAGTCGCAGGCGACAGCTAGTCACTAACATATATTATTTTATAAGTATTTATTTGAAATCGAAGATATACTCTGTGTGGTGAGTTACATTATCTAGTAAGTATGAGAAATGTGTGTGGGAGATAAAAGCAATATAATGTTCTATTCCCCACCCCTTCAATAAGAAATCTTTCGTTGAGTTAACACTTTTGCGTGTGCTTCTTGGGGCGCTGTATTATTTTACGTTTCAAATATACTAACTGTACGTCTTAGGTATTTGCAACCAAGTCTTGAACAATATTAGAGTTTGGATTTTAACATTTTGACCTTTTATTGTTATTTTAATCGATAACTATTATTGTTAAAAAAGTTAGGTAAATAATAATAAAAAAATTAACGTATAAAAGATTGAATAACATCTGGATTAAAACAATTAAAAATATTAAACAGATTACAAAACTTTTGCTTTGAATGGCTTCATGTTTTAGTCCTTTGCTAGCCATATATCCGACGTGCAGTCCCCTCCAGGATATCTACAAAGGTAGCGTACGAATTAGACAATTTTTTATGTTAAAAAAAAAATAAAAAACAAATTCTTTAGCTTAGCTTTCTAGCGTACTTCTACTATTTTATTCCTAAAAACTCGCATCCGAATAGACCTTTTTAAGTTTAAGAAATACGAAGATTAAAAAATGAAATAGAAAGTCTAAGCTTTTAAAAGCTTAGCTTGCTCTATGTGACATTTTAAATAAAATTACCTCATCTCATGAGGCAGCACCGGTCCATTTGGCTCACATCCAAAATCTATGAGGAAATCTGGATCCAATTTCAAGCCACCATTTTCTATATCCACATCGAGCTTGACTATCCATCCACCCTGGAAAAGGATCCAATTAAGTCGCCATTGTAATTCAAATTATTTTTTCACCAATAAAAGTGTAGACATATTCCTATTGGCAATAATATTCAGATTGATTGTCATACTATTTGGACTAGTTAATTTAAAAGCCTATGCATTCATCAGTTTTTATCTAAAACTATATTTGATGCAATTGAAAGAATTACAGATTTCACATTTCAATTAATTTAACGCTACTCGAAAAGTGCTGTACACTACTTCAAACGAGAATGTAACCAAATAAATTTAATTTAAATCAGTTAAAATAAAATATGTGAATTTAGTTTCAATTCATCTGAACATTTGTATTTAGGAAAGAAAAATGTTACCTTTTCTGTCATTTTGGGATAAATTTGCTTATCCCAAGGAGAGTAGAGAGACGACGATACATACAATCGTTTGCCGTCCAAAGACAGTTGGATCATCTGCGGTGATCCGTACAAGCGCTTGTTCTTTACATACACAGGTTTTTGGGTCATCTCCTGAGAATTTTATGAATAAAATGTTATTAAAATATTTGTATTTCTTTAATAAATGTACCTTTTAGAAGGCCTACTGTTCCCGACATCAGGAAAGAAGAAAAAAAATAATTCCAGGCTATTAGTAATGTAACTCAAAGAGTCAGCTTGATCAGATTCAGGGCATAGGTAAATTGTAGTGTAAATTATATCGAAATTTTAACCTGAAATTCCTTGTCTTCAATAACAGTTAAATCATCATTAACAACTCTACCGCCGAGGACAATACGGCCTGTTAATTTGGGATGTTCCGGATCCGTGACGTCATATTGTCGAACATCACCGTGCAACCAGCATGAAGTGTACAAATATTTGTCATCCAAAGATAAGAGTATGTCTGACATTAAACCTAAATAAGAGAAAAATATTATTGCAAAAAAAATCCCAGATTTCCAGAACTTTTTCAACTTATAAAGAAATCAGACTAAATTCTAAAATATTTAGACATATCTTCAGATTATCAAGCAGACGGTGAGAAGATTTTTTTATAAGTTTGTTCACTCACCTAAAAGTCAACATAAATATACTGATAAGCAATAATCGTGTTAAATATAAATATGTATTTAAGATAAACACGTGTTTACCATTCAGTTTGAACTCTTCGCCATCTTTTTTGACAGTTTTAGCTGGAATATCGATAACTTTCTGCGCTTTCCAAGTATCATCTGAAGCTTTGTAGAACCTTGATTTATTACGAAAGAATAAAACATATTTCATTTTATAATTACGTTATAATTAAAAAAGCGATGCGACAGTGAAAGCGATATCTAAATTTTAAAGCAACGTGCTTCTTAGTTTTAGGGTTCAATTTAGAGTAAATGACAAACATTTATTTATTGTTTAAAAAAATACTATAATAATTTATCTCTTTTGCAGTCTAGTGTTTAATATACCTTATTAGTTAGGTATGTATTCGAATTTGTAAGACAAGACGGATAAAAATTGAGATCCATTTCCTCAATTTCATTTTAAACACTCGGACGTGAATTGAATCATAGGTTTCCTGAAGACACGCATACCTGAATATGTTAGCTTCCACGGCGCATCCAACAAAACCTTGAGAGGCTTTTGGATCATGAAGAAATCTAATCTCAAGAGGACCACAACCTTCATCACCTAAATCGATAACCTGCTGCAGTTCACGAGTAGACCACTTGTAGACGTTGAGTGAGACTCCATACAAATCTCTGTTAGGAATATCTTCTGGACGAAAACCGCTATGAAGAAAATACTGGAGTGAGATTAAAAACAAATATATCAATGAGGCAAATTAATAGGCATTTTATTTAATACCATGTAAAGCTCTTGGGACTACCCCATTCAGATGCGATCATGACGTCATAATATGGTTGATACCAAAAGTCATAACCAAATTTTGCAATTTTATCGCCTTTTGTCCATGTACCTATAACAAAAGTTTTATGCAGTTTTTTAAAGTTTCATTAAATTTACAATTTAAAGGCAATTATCTAGTCTTCTCACCTTTTACTTTTAAAGTCTTAGCATCAACGAGTACAAAATCGCCCTTTCCATTGCCATTTTTATCTCCCATGGTTGAAATCATAATATCGCCGGTTGCGAGGCAATGAGCCGTGTGGGGATATGCACAGTTGAACGATTTCATCTCGGCGCCATCAATCACCTTTAAAAAATAACATATCAATAACAAGGAATCAATAAGATTAGGTTAGGATTATTCTTAATCGAATATTAAGTAATAACTCGAGCATATTTATTGAACTGAAATGATATGTTATCATCTTCAAATTCGAGAAAAGATCACGATGTTCATTTATTTTTTACTCAGATAAACAACAAAAATTGATAATGTCATACTTGAGTACCCAAAAAGATTACCGTAGTTTTGGCTCGACATTGTCTCATTTAACCTTGAAAGTTTTTATCACTTATGCATGTTACGTGACTTGCATCTGCACATATTTTTAGCAAGACAATGTTAGTATTCAAATCACTGTACCTTATGCAACTCAGGTTTTCTAGGATTGGTGCCGACATCGACTGCAAAAATCTTAGCAGAATGCAGTGCAGGGAGTATGAGAAGATTTCTCTTCAACTCCGGGTTATCATGACAACTGGAGCATACATTCCATCCGCTGTGATGCAGTTCATCGCCAACACTTCCAGTGTATGTGCGATGAATCACCTATTACAAATAATTTTATAGAAAGAATCTATGTGAAAATGACTGTTTTGTCAACTTTTTCTTTGTATTAATTCTTAAATTTCAACTTTAAAATGTCAGAAATATTCACCTGGCTGTAAGTGGGAGATTCTGGATCTACGTCGACAGTCGCAAGATAATCTTGTTTAGTAAGGTCAGGCTGTACGCACACGACGTACAAAAGTTTTTCCCTGGCACCGTTTTTAAACGCTTCCAAAGGAGACGAGTACCCTGGCCCTTTACCTAGGAAAGATAAAAAATAAACTGAACAACACAAATCTTAATAAAACATCAACTTTAAAAAGAAGGAGGTTACCAATTAGACTGCATGTTCTTTAAAAAAAAACGAAATATTGGTAGTTATTTTATTAAGGAATAAATTGTTTTTTTTTTCACCATCATTAGCTCACTATACTGAAGGGCTCAGAGCCTACACTAAGTTAGGCGTGACTCTGCCATACTCAACAACGCTGGCTCAATGCGGGTTACTTGACTTCACACATATCTTTGAATTTCTGATAATGATGATGATTCTGATGATGATCTGATGATATCGCAGAAATGTGCAGGTTGCATCACGATACTTTCCTTCACCGTAAGAATGTCGAAAAAATTTATTATGAAATCGAAAACACATTGGTACAAGTCGGGATTCAAACCCAGGACCTTCAGATTACAAGTCAGGTGCCAACGGAGCTCTTTGACGTTTATTAAAAAAATCAATCTTTGTCAACATCCACTCAATACGTTTCTGATGTCTAACGGAGGGTTGGAGTAAGGGGGACTGGACCCCTCGCAATTTAGTAATCACATCAGGTAATGTTTGCATATAAATGACTCCATTGTATCGCAGATCTCATCAATCGACTATTGTTTATTTTGTAATGTTAGTATACCATCTATTGAACTAATATATTCAACAGTTTACCGAATTAATTAGATCCAAAACGTTTAAAAGCGCTGGCTGTACAAATTACATTTCTCAAGGGGCCTTCCATTTCACAGTTAAATGTTAATACTGGCGGCCGCCCAAAGACTAAACGTATCAATGCTGGTAAAATATTATAAAATGATGCAGAAAAAATGTATCCTTTTTCGGTAATGTCACAACTCCTAAGCAATGTTACCGCAGGAGCGGCTGGACATAGACATACGCAATTGTAGATGCGTTGCCAAAGGAGGAGACACACAGAAAGACAATATTTTCCCTTTCTATGCATCACATCCCTAAACATCAAATACCCCGCTCCTTCCCATCCGTTCTTTATAAGAAAAGTGGGACGGAAAAAAGGATTTCTACCACAAATCGTAATAAAATCAGTTCTTAATGTATTCATTCAATGCACTTTGTTAATTTTATCCTGAATGTTCATCTTCTAGAAACATAGGATAATAGATAGATGCCACTAGCCCTGACAATAATCTTCTATGGTTTTACTTGATATCAGTACATTCCAACATATTGTTAGTTGTTGTGAATAATATTATCTTTGTTACTATAATCACAATATCCCCTTTTAACGTTACAGTTATCAGATCGATATATTATTTCATAGTTAAATATAATATGTCACCAATCGATTGCGAACTTCGTATTCGTTGGATTTACCTAAATCTTACTACTATTATAAATGCGATTATTTGGATGGATTGATAGGTGGATGTTTGCTAGAAGGTATCTGCAGAACGGCTCAACGGACATTGATGAAAGTTAACATAAATGTAGAACATTGTCTGGAAGAATACATAGGCTACTAAATAAGATTTTCTAATGCCTCGCGGATGGAGTCGACGACAGCTAGTGTTGAACAAACGAATTATTGCTAATTTGACTTATCATTTGTAAAGAAAAATCTATCATGATGACACTTGCACATCACAATTTCGTGATAGTTTTTAATCTCGTGATAGTAAGTACTTCAGGAGGATAACGTTATAAAATTTTGTTAGCTTAGGTATATTATATAAGAGAAGCCTCTAGCAACGCTTTTACGTTTACATTTTTTTTATTTCCAAACAAAAATTTGATGTTAGGTTGTTGACGACTGATTAAACTATGTCATGTTTCAAGGTGACTATCGAACAACTATAATTAAATGTAATTAAGTTTCGTTTTTAATTTAATTTCTTAACGCGTTTTTACAATGTTAGATTGTGTGCTTTGAATTTCTTATTAGTATTTTATTAGTGTTATGGTGCCTAGGATATTGATTAACCATTCGATCAATGTACGTCCTGGATATCCTATTATTTAAAAAAAATGTTGCGCATACTTATTTTTAATCTTATAAATAGTAAATGGCTTTTTTATTTTATTAAGTTTCGAAGCCCCCTGTATATCTGCAATTGTCAATAAACAGTAGGTAAACCAATATTTTCGTTAAAAATGTTTGATACAGTTTTCGTGACAAAAATAAATATGAAATCAAAGCATTGAAGTGATAACATTATATTGATAGTGTAATGACCTCTCCAGAAACATCTCAATTGGATTGTTTATTTTACTAACATCTAGTCAAGCGGGTAGAAAAATATAAATGCTGGTACCATACAAATTGCCAAAAAAATCGAATATATTTCAAAACATAAAGGTAAAAAAACTTCATAGCGGTAAAAACGTCTAAATAGAAAACAAAACAAAAATTGTCACTTCGTATTCATGTTTTTATAGCACATTAAATTCTTAATAATATTTTACAAAGCTTAGGCCAATTAAAATATATTTACAGCTAATAAGTTAATCTTAACTTTAAATGGATAATAAACAAAACAGTACTTACAACAAGCCATTATAAAAGCGGTCTCACAAATAAAATATAGAAAATATCTTTAAAGTCAACCTCTTTGCTCTGTGTTTGATACACAAGTGTGACTGTGACAGCTGCAGACTTGTTATTAAACCAGTACTAGCAAGATCATCTGTCTCTTTCTATTTACGAACATATTAACATTTACATAATATAGTATCTTTGTGACTACACAGTCACGGTCAAGTACATCAATGTTTTTATTTACAAAACATGGCTATAAAATACGGCATACTTACGGGTACTCCTTAAAAAATTATTCTATCAATCTTAAAATCATGGGTATAAATTTAATTTCATATTTATTTGAAGTATCAATTTATATTCCATTATTACAAAACTAATAATATCAAAATTCACCGACTTATTCATTCTAAAATACAATAAAATAATTGGTTCATTATAAAATAATGAGCGAACATGTTATTTTCAATAATGTATTTATCCTGCCAAAAATACATTAGCAAATATTTATTTTACTGTTTTTGCCAGCATGTTTTTCGTAGGATTATTAAAATCGAATGATTCGAAGAGAATATTGCACAATTTAATCAGTAATTTAATGTATATAAAATGAATCGTACAAAAAACATTAAAACAAAAACGAATTAAACATCTCCAAATATAATATTTTAATTTAAGAACACATTCAATTTTTAATTTTAATGAATAAAAGACTAATTACGATACTTCAATTTGAAATTAAATGCAAAACTTGGTTCGAAAAGTCAATATACAAAATGAGCACACTTAAAGTTTAAAAAACAATCTTCTCTTTCCAGTAGGAGGTCGATGAGTGCGAACATAACTATCCTGCATGATCCGCGTGAGACTGGAATGCTGGTGAAATTGGTGTCGAATTGATACATGTCTACTGATATTTTTGAATAGAATATGCCACAACGCCTTATCCTTATTCTTCCACAATAAATCCGCAGTCTTTTCCTTAATCCTACGCATATTTTCTTCCAGTCGCCTGGCCTTTATTTCCATTTGTATGAGTGAGCGAGTCGTATTTGTCAAAAGTCGGTACAGATATTCCTTCCTTCTAGTTTTATTCTGTTCCGAGAAGGTTTCATTTGTCACAGACACGCATTCGCTGCTGTTCTTTTGCATTTGCAACTTCGTGTTCTGAAAGTTCCCACCGAAGGTTTCACTCCGAAATAAAATACTGACAAGTAGAATTGCTAGACCAAAACAAGCTAGCATCAATAGTTTGGCGTGCTTGTAAAGTGGTTGGGTTATAAAATTCATGTCAGAACATTGATATTGAATTTGAATATATAACGGTCCATTTCGATGTTTATCTAGTAATGAAGTATGTTCTTTTTGTTAAAACGCGAACGACGCCCTCTCACGGCATGAGCGAAAACGATACTGACTGGAGCGAAAACACGACGCCGGTGCGACGCACCCCACAAATTTCCCCAATGACTTTCCCTCTTGAATGTTAGAAACCAAAACATTGGATGCGACATATTTATTAAGCTTAGAGTATTTTACTTTTGAAAATGAGCTTTTTAATTTTTATTTAAAATTAATTATCCTTTATAGGTATCAAGTACCAATAAGTAAGTTTATATGAATGTTTTAATTCATGAAATTTCAGTGCGAGGTTAACAACAATTACTGCAGGTCTCAATATAAATCTATTGCTTTAATATTTTATCACTACAATGAAGACATTATTTTATTTCAAAAAAGGAGTAGCGTAGTATATTTCTTTGCTCGGTGTTTTCTTAGGTGCGTGAATATCAAAGGGAGAGGGGGCCTGAACTCGTCTGTCTCTCGCCTCACCTCACCTAATGTAGTTTTGTCGCACTATCTTGTTGGCAATGGCATTAAATCAGAATAAGGAGATATATATAATCGTATTTAAAAAAACTACAGAGGTTAAAAAAGTTAGAAGTTTAACTTTATGGTTCAGGATTTTGATAAAGTTTTTTTACCCTAATTTTAATAAAAAACGCTCTTACTAAAATTTGTAAGATACTGTATTTGACCTCATTTAATGATTTTTCATTTAAAAAATTGACTCTAATTAATACTGCTTCAATTTAAATACGATACTCGTTAGATCAGAAAATTAATTTAAGTAAGTAATCTATAAAAGCATTTTAAAGTCTTGTAAAAAAGTTATAGTAAGCAAAAAAGTGATAAAATACCCTTGAAGGTTACAAAGGAGACTTTCTTCAAAGGTTTAAAAGGATATTTATTATTATTTGACCCGACTTGATTTCTTACGGACAAAGGACCCATAAAATATTTAACAGCAGGTTCTATAAAAACGATACAATTTTAACGCAAACGCAATATCTAGGGACTCGCTCGAGGGGTTACAGCTGTTGAAAAGGTTACTTTTTTACAAAGTTAATATTATCGTAAAATTTATTGCATAAAATGTTTGAGTATTTTTTTTAGGAATTACTAAAGATTCTTCATTAAATGATTACAGTATCTACTAGGTTACTACATTTAAGGAGCCAATGACATGTTCATACATTATTTTTACGTAGGTCCTATAGTTTGGTCTATGTAAGCGAAGAAAGCAAAAAAGTCCTAAATTTCATATAAAGCATTTTCAACTTAAACTCAAAATCTACTAAATTTCTAGTCAGTTTAAAAATGTATAAAAAAAATTCGACCCACCTATAAGCAAAACCTTTCGATCGAAAAAAAATTTTCAAAATCGTAGCACCAGGGACGGAGTAACGCGGTAGCACACATAAAGAAAAGAACATACAGACGAATTGATAACCTCCTCCTTGTTGAAGTCGGCTAAAAATGTTAGAAAATACTAGAAAACTTATTATGATTTATTAATAGTTTTTGTATTTACGCATTATGTTTCTTTGATTTTTTTAAATCGAAATAAATAAATTTGTTCTTATTTTTTAACGAACAAACTTACATGCAAATTAATAAAAAAGGAGAAAAGACGTGGAGAATTTATGTTGCGTAAGTGAGCGTCAGTATCGGTTGAGGGTGCATTAGATGAATATATAACGTTGGGATTGTGGATTTACTGCAGTAAAGTCAAATAAAGAGGCTAAACTGGAACATGCTATACGTAGAATTCATTTTACACGTCCTTCTTTTTACTACTACTAATAAGTTATTTTAAATATAAAAAGACGGAATTGTTTTATCATTTATTCATCTTAAACAAAAAACTTTAGCCGTCTGCAATTGGAAAAATAAGGTAATTAGGTCGAGTGATTTCTTAAAAAAACTTTCATTGTGCCTCGTTAGATTGAAAATTGTTATTCTGATTTGGTACTATTCATTTATAACTTTGTTTTCATTTTTTTTATAACAGAAGGGGGCAAACGAGCAGCGGGAACACCGAGGTGTTCAACGACGCCCATAGACATCAGCAATACCAGAGGAACCGCAGATGCGTTCCCGGCCTTTGAGGTGGTGATAACCTCGCTTCTTGAAGGACCCTAAGTCGTAGCGGTTTGGAAATACCGCCGAGGACAGACCATTCCACAACGCTGCTGTGCGAGGCAGGAAGTTTCGCGCAAACCGCACGGTTGTGGATTGCCAGCCATCGAGATGGTGTGGATGGAACCTGGCGGTCTGTCGTGTCGTCCGATGACGGAACTCGGCGGCAGGAATCGTTCCAAACAATTCTTCAGTATCAAGGAAAAACAAACAGAAGATATTTGGCAGATTAGTAGTGAGAGAAATAAGAGTGGAAAATACAGGCACTTGACAATACATTAGTACTCTGTCAACTCCAGCATGACAAACGATAAATGTCCCTGCCATCTGGACAGTAACGCATTGCACACGTAAATTACAGCTGTACAATTTGTTACTATTTCTTAGCACTATCATCGTGTGTTAATCTTTATTATTAATTAGCCCGCAACTTCGTCAGCATGGAAATAAAAAAGAAATAAGCCAATGATACTACCGCATACATCTAACTTAATGTTAAAAGTCCCGTCAAAATCTGTCCAGCCATTTTGGAGATTACCCGGAACAAATGCGACCTTGCAGATAGATATATAGACAGACAAACATTTTAAATATTGGTTTTTTTCTATCAGTTACGCAAACATACAGACACTCCAATTTCATTAATATGTAGATTCGTAAGAAGATAAGCTCTGAAGCCTTTGCTCACAAATCTGCTATTGCAAGTTTGAAATAGTAATAAACAAAAATATAGAAAGAAAAATAACATTTTTCTTAAAAGGCGAAAAACAAAACGTTTTCGTTTTAATGGCGACGTCTTATTCATAAGAATTTCGCTACACAGAGCCCTTGTATGTTCTTGGTGTCTCTCTGATTAATGGAACAAAGGAACTGCAAACTATCGTTAACAAGGGAACATTGTTGTATGCTTGCTGGCTTCTTCATATTAAATGTCGTCTTGGAATTGTTTTAGTATGAACACGGAACACATATTCGTAGTTTAACAGGATTTTGGTGTTGAAACATTCTTTTATTTTAGAGTATGCAAGAAAGACCTTAGCAGTTTGTTAAATTACGCAGTAAAATTGTACGTATTGTTTTTAATCTTACTAATATTATGAATGTGAATGTTAGGAGGGATGGTAAAACACAGTCTGGGAGAACACATAGGCTACTAAGTTTTTATTCCGCGCGGATGGAGTCGTGGGCGATATCTAGTCAAATAATAAAATGTTCCTGTTATTTGTACATACATAGACTAGAAGTCCTCCTAGAGAATAGTGTCTATTACGTTAAGTAAACCAAAGTGAATACTAAAAGATAGAAAACCGATAAGTTTATCTTTCTAATTTTTTATATGTATTTAAACTGGTCCGAATTTTATATCCTTCATACTCCGGAATTAATTTGATTCACCGTCGAATGTCCGGACGTTTCCCCCAATATTTGTTTTCGTGTCTGATATACATCCGCCACACGTAATATCCGCGTAAGCAATTTTCGGATAAAATGTTGTCAAGCAATATAATACCCGAACAATGTTTGCTGAAATTAAAGCCTCGCTATTTAAGTGCAAATAGAAGTAAATATTTGAAGACTTGGATCGTGACAAAGGCCCGTCTATTGGAGATATTAGATAGTTAAATAACAACTGCTTCAACATTGTTGGTCTGTAAATTGAATATGTTAAGATGATTTGTAGCCCTGTTTATTATTATCAGAAGACAAATATCTAATGGTGAAAATTGAGAACAAAATAATATCAATAGACTTGCACAATGTTATATTCGTTCTGGCTATATAATAAGTAATTGTGCCAGTACGTTATTAAGGAAAATAGACGCGGTTCCATTAAGTTACAAGGAAGACGGTTACAGATTAGGCTTGCAGATACACTCTCATCTGGCAATTTATGAAGAATATCTATATCTAGCACTAGATTTTCTTTTAATGATTATGTAATAAATAAAATCAATGGCTCTGTTTTTCTACTCCACTAACAGTGGGTTTTCGAGTCTTTAATAAAAATATTGTTTTCTTTGTTTTGTCAAAGATAATAACAGGGATGATATGTTTTATACAGAAATGTTGATCTCAGAATCCAAGGGTATTACATTCTACCGACTTTTCTTACATTTCAGTTTTAACCATATTCTACTCTTCTATAATATGCTAAACACCCTGACCATTAAATATCTTCGAAAAGGACCGTTGACTAAGTATTACGGAGACATAAACCTAAAAAATTAGTATGTCCTAAAACCTCTTTATTGTTTTCGACTGCTACTTAAATCTAAGTATGCGGCAACCTCAATAAAGTCAGCCATTTCTGTCGTTTCCTCAATTTACAACCCTGACCCTTACAGCAGCTAGCCCTGTAAGTCTTGGGCGTAAGGAGTCACGTCCCGTGGGTGTGATAAAAAGCGGTTAAGGGATAAATTAAAGAGGGATAGGGGTATCGTAACATGTTTTGGTAATGAATACCCGCTATCCCTACAGAGGCTAACTTTAAGTTACCATTGTAAAGTTTACAGACAATATGTTATATAGTAATAGAGTATATAATAAATATTAATTACTATGTTTATCTGTTGTTTATGTTGTTAGAAAATTTTGTAATTATTTCGTCGTGATGTCGACACCTTTAAATCTAAGATTTATTTGTATAAAGACAAGAATCCTTTGCAAAAATTATTTTGAATACAAAATAAAAACATTTTTCCGAATCTTTACTTTTTTCTAAGTATAAAAAATTATTTAAAGTTTATTATTTTAAAAATTACTCTCAGATTAAACAGTGAAACCTATATTGACATATAACATAAATACAATAAACAGAAGTAACTTTTTTTAAGACATTATTAATTACAAACCTTTGGCGCGAATGACGTGCTTTCGCTACAAAGTCTAGTGTCAGAATGAAAGTGGAGGGCACACAAACGTCGACATTTTAGTAAGGCTAGTGTTGAATCAATACACTGACTCATTTCCGGATTTTCTTCCTAACACTTGATATTTTTGTAATTAATCTCGTAATAATATCGCTAAGACATTATTATTCATGAAACATCATAAGGAAAATTTATTTTCATACGGGAATACGATATCGCCCATATGAGAACAAATCAAATCAAAATGCAATTGCATACACGTTATGCATCTCGCTATCGTCAATCCAATAGATTCAGTTTATTCCTCTAGGAAATAGAAATACGATTCTAAAACTCGTAAGGAAATTCTAGGAGCAAAGAAAAAAATAGTAATCTTTATTAGGTAGTAACCACTAACCATAAATGGACTGGCTATGAGACATTGTTTTTTGTGCCTATCTGATTATCGTCATTTTAAAAATCGCAATTATATAAAAAAAAATTCTTACATAATTATTTCTGTGTTATTAGGACGTGAAACTTTGGTCGCATTAATTTTATTTGAATTTATGTGTCAACAAAGATCGTCTTAAAATAACACTTTCAAGTTTTTTTTATGGATATTTTATTCAAGAAGTCAACATGAAAACTTTTGAAACACTAAATTATAGAATACATTTATGTCAGAATATTCAGATTTAACTTTGGATTTAACGCGCAATGAATTTGACAGAATGACAATATTTTCTGAGGTTTCTTTTGGCCACGACATCGTTACGAAGCTGTTAGAAAACTTTTCCCCCAAGGACATAAAAACTTTAACGTGTTAAAAAGGAAAACATTCACACATAAATAGGCTGGTCATTTGTTGCTAAACAAGGGGAGACGAGAAAGTTTTGTCATTAAATCAGGACCGAAAGTGCAGTTGCCTTCAAACGAAATGATATCCTTAGCAAACATCAGAAAGCGTATAAAAGTATACGAAATTCAAATAAAACCACAACTGGCATAACTTTGTTGCAAGAATAATTTTCCAAGTTTTTTAATAGACCTAATGTTTTCTTTTTATTATTTATAAACATAAATTGTGCTAGTCACAACTTAACATCTAATATTTAGAAATCTTAATCGGACCGAAGAACTGGCTAGGTCAAAGAAATAGTTTAGCTATTCAAAGAACCCTCTTGCTGCCAATATCTTCGTAACCTTGCCTAAAGGGACTCCTTTCAATAATATATTTTAGGTAATTATTCGTTTTTAATATTTTATTTAATAGATTTAAAGACTTTTCATGTAAAATATTAAATATATATAATAATATTGGTTATTTCGAAAACTATTCACTTTTACGTACACCACCAATGTGCACCAAATCAAATATTAAATTACCTCTCTTAAATTAAAATTGTATTTTGAACACATCTGACCAGTAACGTTAGAGGGACGTGGACAGGCAAATTGACGTTTCGACACTCAGCCATTGGATTTTATAGACAAATAGCTTTTAGATATATTTTCAAAACGCTGCCGGTATTTAACAGGATACGTCGAAAAAATTACAGGGGAAATACATCAGTGCCAGGTGTCACCGAATACATATTCTTTTTTACGGCACACATTCATTTGTACGAAAGTGGCCGTTAATTTCATTTTTTGGACTTATTTCTGTCTAAAAATGTCCAGGCCCTTTATAATCATCAAATAGAGATCCTTGATTTCATGCGTATCTTATGAAATTCTTTTTAAATTTTCATATTAAGGCATAAACACATCCTCATTACCAGCCAAGTCTTTATCGGAATTAAAAAGTAAAGATTTTCGTTGATAAAAAATATCCTGTAAAACTATAATAGTTTTAATAATGTTATAATTTAATTAGACGACGACTTCGGTGAATAGCTAGTGAAAAATATATTTATTTACCTTAATGTTTGTATCAAATATTAGAGGTGTTCAAATCTGTAGCGCCTGCGGGCATAGTCGCTGCAATCCGCCGCACATGATACGGTCGAAAATTCTATTATGATCTATAGATTGCCCTCCGACAACTCTCGCTCGAGGCTACGTGAAATAGTGTTTGTATTACCGTACAATTTGTAGTTGGACCTGTATTTAATCTTTGTTTAATTTAAGATTTAATATTGATGCTCTAATCCTATTAACTATTACGTTAAGAAATTACTACGTTAATTAAATTTGTTCAGATTTTTAAATATCAATTGTAGAAATATTACGAGGTATCAAAAATCATAAAAATGTATTCTATAGCTTTAAGGATTTTTCTTCTCAGCTAATTAGCATTTCATAATTTTTTGTCGCGTTGGACTTTTCAGTAAAATCGAAAGATCGTCAATCTTCTTTCATAATTTCTGACGTTTTAGCTAAAGAAATATATGATAAATGACTTCGGCGAATTTTTAACTATAAATCTTTCAAGATATTTTGGAACATCATTTCTAATAACGGCATAATAAAGAATAAAATGAGAAATTCATCATCAGCTCACCACACGCCCCCACCGAGGGGCTCGGAGCCTACCCTAAGTTAAGGGTGATTAGGCCATAGTCAACCACGCTGGCCTAGTGGGTGTTGGTTGACTTCACACATATCTTTGAATTTTTAAGATGTTTTCCTTCACCGTAAGAACGTCGAATAAATGTACTTATGTAAATCGGAAATCGAAAAACACATTGGTACATGGCGGGATTCGAACCCAGGACCTGCAGTTTGCAAGTCAAGTGCTTGACCCCTGCGACACCGACGGTCTGAATCGACGGAAATGAAAAATTATTAAGGTTATATTTAGGTTTTTTGATTAAGGATAAAATAACAGGAAAGTCACTCAAGACGTTTACCTCTCGATGTAATAAATTATAACAATATTAGAAAATGAAATTATTTCATATCGTGAATTACTTATATATAATAATATTTCTTTACGTTAATGTAATTAAATTCCTTTTTGAAGAAATATAATATTGAATATTAAATATATCTATACTAATAATAGTCTAGGTAGGTGTAAATCTAGATGTAAGAATTCTCACTTTTTCAAATAAATTTTGCAAAGATATTCTTGTAACTTATAAGATTTTTTATAAACACCATTGTCGATATCATAATATAAATATTAAGAACTCTCGCGGATTTCTTATAATTCCAAGTAAGCTTGTAAAAAATGAGGACAGATTTTTTAGAAATATCTCTTTAATAACTCCTAGGTAATGTGTCTGTGAATACTTTTCGTAACAACATTTTGCTCGCGCGACGGTAATAAAAAAGAAAAGCCTTGTTAAACAAACAACGACATAAAAACTTTATCTTATTCTAACAAGAAATAAGAGGGGAAACTCAAACTTTCTTTGATCCGATGAAAGGTATTAAACTACATTTTTAGAAGCAACGAAAAGGGGATTTACCTTGTTCAACGGTTTCATAAAAATATAATTTTTCATATTAACAATATTTTGATATGAAAAAATAATAATTCTAGTTTTTTAATGACCTAATAAGTACCCTAGCACTAGGTAATTGTTAAGTTTTAGCACTTTACTTCTACTATACACACGACGTTCAAAGTATTTTATTACTATCAAATTAACACAGTAACTGGATGTGCCTAAATTGTATTTCCTAAGATTGTTTTAATGACTTTGATCCTTCACGTCTTCGTGATGTAGAAGAATTAAACTTTCACTTCCAGTAGGGCTTTCAAGCATTGGCAGATTCTCAACCTCACCTAAAACATACATAATTTCAATCAAAAAATATATATTTAGAAAATTATAATGCCAATTTACAAGTGATTTTAATACTAGAATAAATTTAAAGAATGATTTTGAAAATTTTGTAACCACATTTTTATCGTTTAAAAAATATTTTTGGTAATAATTTTAAAACCATCGTTTAAGACTAACTCGAGAATTAATATATATACAACTGAAGAACTTCTTTTATTATTCATTAAAATTTAATGCTGAATCTTATATATTACAAACTAATATTATAAATGCGAATGTTTGGATGTATGGATGGATGTTTGTTAGAAGGTATCTCCAAAACAGCTACATGCCTTTCGGTGAAATTTGTCATAGATAAAGTCTGGAGAACGCATAAGCTACTAATTCAGTTTTTTTTCTTTTTATTGCCGCACGTACGGAGTCGGGGGCGACAGCTACTTTTTCATAAATTTCAACTTACCAATTCGTACAGTAAAATTCATAGATTCGCTATCATCTAACATAGAAAAAACATTTTCCACCGGAATGTACACGTTCTGTGTGTGTTCCAAGAAATCAGCATCCTTTTCACACTTGCAAGGTCTCCTAAAAGATTTAATGTCACTTTTCTTATTTAAGTAATTTGTTTTCTTATTGTTAGCTTTATTGTAAAATATTTACCTGTAGACTATTCTCTTGCTCGGTATATTTGGTAAAAATATATCAACTTCGAAATAAAATTTATCCGCGTTATCATCGTTCACCAGAACAGTCCACATCATTCTACCTGGAATGATAACTTAATTGTAATACATTTTTTTTTGGTAATCTAGCGATTCCACTGGCCATCAATAAATTTTTAGTTTAATCGGAAGCTTATCTTAGTTTGTTGTTCAAAAGCTATATTCTTTATGGTACTTAATTATGGCATAAAATGTTACTAATATTATAAATTCTGATTTTTAGATGTACGCATGTTAGAAGATATATCCAAATCGGCTAAATAGGTCTCGCTGAAATTTGGCATAGATGTAGAACATAGTCTGAAAGATCACGTAGGCTATTAAACAAGGTTTATTTAATACCGCGCAGACGGAGTCGCGGGCGACTGTTAGAAATAAAATAAATAACATATTACCTCCCCTTTTATCATAGATTTGATAAACATTAAATACTCTTTCGTAACATTTCATTAGAAAATAATTAAGAACAGGCTCTGTTCTCTTTGCGTCCCATTTGTCCTTAACAGTTATAAATGGTAGTTCTGTCACTTTCTGTTTGTGTTGTTCAAAACAATGATCCATCCATTCACCAGCACGTCCTTCCCAAGAACAGTCACCTAAAAGAATTTAAATATTTAAAAAAAAATATTCAATACGTCATCATAATTTACCGACCTTGTTCCCACTTTATATTATGTTTTTTTTATATCATATGGTGGCAAACGAGCGAGCGGCCACCTGAAATCGCTAAAATAGCGAAGTGACCGTTGCCCATAGACACACGCAATTGCATATGCGTCGCCTACCTTTAATCGACGGAGGAGAGAGGATGCATGGAAAGGGAAAATATTTTCTCTCTCATCCGGAAATTCCACTTCCACTTCCTATCCTTTCCTTATAAGAAAAAGGATAGGAAGGGAAAGAGGACTAAATAAGGCCTCCGGGACGCACACTCATCAGACGAAACGCGGAATTGCTTCCACCTGACGCCTGTCTTCTGTGTGGTCGTGGTATTCCACCGGGCGAGCCGGGCCAATTCGTGCGAAGATGTTAAAGCGGGCTCTACCACTGTTAAAATATCAGTAATCTTTCAGTGTCATATCTTATTTCTCCATGAGAACACAGAGAAAAGTATATTTTTGTGAAAGAGTTTCTATAGTTAAAACATTCGGTTATAAAATTATTACTTACCATAAACACGTGCCATAAAACAATTTATTATCCTAAATTGACAGTGGGGAATGTGTTTCTCTAGCATGGGCAGGTTCGCGTGTTTCGGACATCCTGCATTCGTGCACGGGAACAGGACTTTATTCGCCAAAGACTCCAAAACAATCGGACGAACCAGTGAGAACTCTTTCTATAATAATAAAAATACAATATTTAATGTTTTACGTAAATATAAACTTACGTAAAATAGCGGTAAAATATAGCTGATAAAATATCTATGAGTCATGTCTTATTTTATTATAAAGTTACAATTTTAATAGATATTTAAGATAACACTCATCGGAAGTGAATAAATATTAAAAGCAAGAAATCACTGTTAAGAGAAATAATAAATAACAAGCTTCCTTTAAGAAGATTTCCAATTGTTTAATCTTACTAATATTATAAACGCGAATATTTAGTTTGATGGATGTTTGTTAGAAGGTATCTCCAGAACGGCTGCATGGATCACGCAAAAAATGTAGAATACATAGCCTACTATTGTGCAAATGGAGTCGCGAACGACAGCTAGTTTATCTGTAAATTATGATTAATATTGTATCAGCTTACCTTACACAGGTGACACTGATAACTCTTTTCAAAGCAGGGGCCGCACAAACTGTGTCCATCGACGCACAAATGAATCGGAGGTTTCATGTATTTTGCACATTTTGTACACGTCAAGTCTTTAATTAGGCTCTCGTAATGATCCGTTTCTAAAAGCGTACTAAGCACCACTGAAATTAAGAAACAAATACATAAAAATATCTCAATGGATATTAACAATTACATAGGTATTATTTATCAAAGCCAATAGTTTATCTTTACATTGATTTTCAAAAATTACAACAAAGGTTTAGTCGCGTTTAATTTTAAATTATGCAATACCATTTAAATTAAATTGCAGCATTTGCCGGTCTGGTGTAGTAGAGTTGATTAACTTTTAGTTTCGTACTTGTTTCGAGCTAAACTCATTATTAATTAATCTAAAAAAAATGATTACTACCATTCATTAATTTTTGGAATATACGCAAAATGTCAAAGAACACTTGAATGCATTTTACGATAAGTGTTTCATTTTATTGAATTAAAAAACTCATTTTCTACAACATCGTATAAAATATTCCCTTAAGTTTCAAAGCCCTTTTAGTATGTGTCGTTATTATACACAAGAAATATTAATACACGTGAATTGATATACTAAGTCAAATGCTGAAACTCGGCGATAGATCCGTTCGCCAATACATTCAGTTGGCAGTTTATCTGAGCGGTGCAGACGCACTCTAACGTCAATTTAAAATCTCGTGATACACAGACGTAATGCTACTTTCACACGAGTGCAGTAGAACAGAACTACTATTGTACGGCCTTACATGCCCCCGGCAAATGTGCGTTTAAATAATAGTACTATTTGGTACTACACTATACTGCACTCGTGTGAAACAAGCATAACGTTTTATATACAGACAACGTATCGGATACTAAAAGCTTTACAGCGATATTGACGTATCCGACTGCCAAATGTATTAAAACACAGTGCAGTATACTCTATGTATGTTTCTTTTGTAACCCACCCACAGAGGTTTTATCCCTTGCCTTGTTTAAAAAAAAACACATTTAAAGTCGAACAAAAAATATTATAAATGCGAATGTTGATATAGATGCATGGATGTTTGTTTAAAGGCCTGTGTAAAAATGTTCCAGAACGGCTGAATGAATCTCCTTGAAATTTTGCATACATATAAAATATAGTCTGGAAGAACACATAGGCTACTAATTATGTTTTTTTTTACTCCGTGTGGACGGAGCCACTAGCAACAGCTAGTACGATACCAGGTAACAAGCCAGGTTAGTTAATTATCCTTCCACTAGTTGGGTGTAAAGAAAAAATGCGTAACAAGATAGAAAACATCTTGTAAAATTCATGTTAAGCAAGCACTTATGTGTTCTGAACAGGTCATCGACCAACTTATTTATCGATGCTAACTCCTTTACTAGTAGGTCATTTGAATAAGGTTCTATATCTCATTATGACACAGAACTCTTATGTTCATTCAATTTATGAAAATAATTCCGGCATTTATAAAGGCTTAAAGCTTCTATATCGTATAAATTTAATTAAAAGTAAAGAATAAATGGAACAATCACTTAGGTACTTTATCGTGTTAATTATATTTCCGCACGATATGAAATTATATAAAAATATTTAAGTAGATCTCGGAGTAATTAGTACAAAAGAAAAAAGACAATTGAAAAACTATGTTTTGTCAATTTTAAATGAGAATTAATTTAATTTTATAATTTAAAACAATCCTTCACATTTTAATATTTTTTAAAATTAAAAAGAAAAAACCGAAGACATCACATTAAAGCGTAGACGCGTCTAAACGTGTGGCTGAACACAGTTTAATAAAACGAGACATTCTATCCAAGAACTATACAATGGATTTAAAAACTAAAAATGTTACTAACGCTTCCTCCCGGTGAGCGACGACGTAGAAGTCGACGACATGCCGAATATTACACGCACCACACTTAAAACGTTAACACACCGTCGCACACCGACTTCGAATTATTAAACAATTTTAGATACAAACGTATGAACGTAAATCGATTATTGTCTAATCGTTCAAACATTTTCAAAGATAAGATGCTAGAGTACATATCACGGTGGCGATTGCGATTGTGGCCGAGGTGTTGGCGACACTGGACGGACGGTCTATATTTAATTTAAAACGACAAGGTTACAGCTACGCTAGGGCAGAACCCGCTTCTGACCAATTACTAGAGAGTTCTTGGACAAATTAATTTAAAACTAAACCGTTTGCTGTCATGTTTTAGGTTCATTTTTGAAAAATGTATTCTGATCGGTTTTTTTTTTGCTGTTTTCTTTCGTGATGTTTCACATGTAGTATAGCTATTATAAAGTAAGCTGGATTGTATTGATTTTCTTGACCTTTTATTACGTGAATGTTAAGTAATAAAGTATAATGAATCTAGAACAAATATTTAAAAGCATCTTGGAATAAAATACTTAAATTGGAACTAGATAACCTTTCTTCACAACACGGTAAAAAAGAAAATAACTAATTAAAGACACATCTCTTTCTAATTCTTTTTCCTTTTCAATCGTAAAATAAACATACATTTTCAAATTGAAAAATGCATCGAGTGCTGTAACAGGGAGACGAAAATACGGACCAATTTTTTTACTACAAAAATTCATGTGACGAAAAATATACGGGTAAACTTTTATCTAAACTTTGTTACAGATATTTCGAAAATGTATTTTGTAAAATACTTAACTTAAAACAAGTCTGAAAACAATCCGTTTTAATAAAATACAAGTAGACATACTAAATATAGTATAAACATGAATTTGCACTACCGAACCATATCCTATAATATAATCCATATAAGGTTTATCCTCTTAAAAATATTATCAACTCCATTGACTATTATTACCAAAAATCGTCATTACCCACCTGCCCTTATCCCTACTTTTCCTCCTCCATACAACTTTATCAGCTGTCATATCTGAATCCACCCCCTTCTTAGACATATCGTCTTTCACAGAATCCAACCATACTTTATTTGGTATTCCTCTACCTTTGTAGCCATCCACATTCAATCTTTCTATTACCAAATGTAAGTCTAAGATTTTTAACAAATGCAGAGATTTTATAGTCAGTTAGCGATATTCAATTACTGAATAAGATACAGTTATCTGTAATATGAAACTTGCCAATATCATTATCTACATCGTTATGTCCGGGCTGGATTTTATCTTATACCTAAGTACATGTTTGAAAATAAAGATAACAATAGTATACTATATCTGATGATACATGATCCATGTAGACCATACTAGTTTATTTAGTCATTGTAACTTGTGATATGAGCATGAGGAGGAAGTAATCACATGTGGCAAGGAGAACTTCAGTTATGAGTGTCGAGGGGTACACTGACAAGGATAGGCCTAGGAAGATATAGATGGACGTGAAAGGTGATCAAGAAGAGATTGACTACTAGATTTCGGTCTGATCCAGGCCTCTTCAAAGTCAAAGTTGTAAAATTATTGTGGACGGATACATATATATCTTCGTCATGAACATGAAAGAAGTTATATATAAAGAAAATAGAGAAGATGTGTGTCTTTTTCTTTCTTTAAACCCGTATCAAACACATCAGGTTACCTCAACTTGTGTTTTATTTGTCAAATTTAAAATTTCGATGAAAATGAAATACTCAACAAGAATGCGGTACAACAAATTAACGATAACAATCTGAAAACGCCGCATTGTATTTACGTAAATCGATTATCTATGATTAAACTCAAGTACGTACGTCAGATGCACCCATGATAGTTAATCATGGACTAAATTCTAGATTATGTTGCGAGTAATTGTTTCTACATCATGTATATTAATAAAAGCATACCTATTTGGCTAAACCAAACATTAAGAAAAGCGTATTTATATACTAAGATTAGTAATTTTGTGATTTGTGTAAACGATGTTTTAATAAATTTAATTTATGTCAGGTATGTAGGAATTAACTATGTTTTTTATTGTATTTATCTTTGGGTTTATATCTTCCTATTATAAATCCAAATGTTTAGATGGATAGATGGATGGATAGGTAGACGGATGGATGGATGTATGGATGGATGTTTGTTAGAAGGTATATCCGGAGCAGCTCAACGGATCTTGAGGAAATTAAGTACAGATGTAGAAAATAGTCTGGAAGAACACATAGGCCACTTATTAAGTTTTCTTCTTTCTTGCGATTGGTTTCAATACAATTTGGTAAGTTATGTAAAATGTAAAATAATATTTAACGTCATTAATATTCATTAAAATCAGTATTTGTGTTTTGGAAAGATTGTGAGTATAAAAACGCGTAGTATCCTGACGCACCAAATTAAATTAATCGAAGCGGAACAAACGAGAAATGTGAGGTAATTGGCTTGAATTTCTGTGAAATAACTTGACAATGCGAAAACGGCTTCGTGATTGCAAGCCCGACACATTTCACGTGCCGATGTATTGACACGCACGGGCTCGTAATAAAATCAATAGCTTGCGGAACGCTACGCGCATAATACAATTACTATAAACACTCGATTAAACTTTTGAATAATGAATAGTGTGAAAGAATTATTGAGTTTATACAGCTTATTCTATAGATGGATGGTAGCTCGGGGGTTGAGCACTGCGCTTGTAATATACAGGTCCAGATTCGATCCCCGCCATGTACCAATGTGTTTTTGAATTTCATATTATGTACAATTATCCCACATTCTTATGACAAAGGAAACATCGTGATTCAATTTACACATATATGCAAAGAAATTCTAACATATGTCCCACTCATCTTCCCGCAGCCCAAACTGGCCTAGTGTAGTTGACAAAAGCCTTGTCACCCCTTTTTTTGTTTCAGAGGGGAATTCTTTAGACATACTCCGTGCCTCGGGGAAGGCACTGTAGTTATGTGGGATTCTCTCCCCGAATGGGAGCATCCCCACTAAACCCCTCTGTTCCCTCATAGACATAATGTGGGACGCCGCAGGATTGTGTTAACTTACCACCGCGACGCCCCACTGACCAGCCCGAGAATAGGGCTCCTCAATGCGCCCCCAATGGGGCGCTGCACCCGTAGGCGCTCCTCAGAGACGACACCGTGCAATACAGGTTCAGGATGGCCTTGTCACCCCTAACTTGAGTAGGATTCGAGCCCCTCGTGTATATTAGTGGACTAAGATATCGACAGCTTCCTATACTTTAAGCCCCCACCTTACCAGAATTATGGTTTACAATGAAAGGCATACCAAACCCTAATATGTGTGTACAAGCCAATATTTCCATAACTTTACTTACTTTTATTGTTTTATTTTTATTATTTTCTTTAATTTTGCGTAGACTTTGTAGTAACATTATAAATACACATAAAACAAAAACGAGTTGAATGAAACTATTGAAAGAGCGAAATACCCAAAATTTGCCTAATCATTGTGACCTACTCGCCTTTGATAATTTCGTACAAGTACATTTAAATTGTTCGAAGTCAAAAAAACAAGGAATGATATGCTTTGAACCGAAGCAATCTCATTTGGAACTAAAACTGTAAAAATAATGAACGAACATCTTCTAATTATTTATTGTGATTTGTTGAACGTAATAATACAGTTAAGGAAATCGTGACATTTATCTCACACGATTCTTACACACATTTACTTCATGCATCTACGTAATGTGTACGGCTCAAAATTTTAAGAGAAAAGAATTTACTACGAATTATTTGAAGTATAACAATATTTGTTTAATAATGCTAGAAAATGACATAATAGATGCTACATTCACGACAATGATGTATAATATACAAACTGTATCGATTTATGGTCTGTTAAATATTTCTTTTTCCAGGAGCGGCGTTAGAGTAGGGCGAGGTGAGGCGACCGCCCAGGGTGCCGGGCATAATCAGGCGCCACAGGAGCTCCTGTGGCGCCTCCTAAGGATCCTATCTTTGGAAGATTTCCCTACGACACCGAATCTCGCCCAGGGCGCCGGAAATGCCAACGCTGTCTCCCGCGACTCAGTCCGCACGGAGTTAAAAAAAAAAACTTAATTAAGCCTATGTATTCTTTCAGATTATGTTCTTCATTTACGCTAAATTTTTGCGAGATCCGATTAGCCGTTCCGGGGATACATTATAACAAACATCCATCAAACCATCTAAACTTTTATAATATTAGTAAGTGTGTTCAACAGAATAGAAGAGAAAGAAAAAAATCCAAAAGAAAGAATTCGACCAAACGGGAAAACCTAGTTTAGTTTAAGATTTAAAAATCATGTTTAACATTACATCGCTTATTTTTAAGAGATAGGCAAATAAAAAATATTTTTGCAGTCGTACAAAACAAATATTAGATGAGTCAGATAAACTTGTTTTTTACGAAACTTTATCTACAGTAAAATGCGTTAAAAAAACATACGTCATTACATGATATTGTTTGACAGCGTTTTTACAAGGGAAAAAATGATGATATAAGGGCCAAATAATAGCATGTAAATTAATCGGCCCTATTCAGATTCTGCTACGTCGAACATAGGGAATATTTTTACTAAAAAAAACGTTGTGGTGATAATATTATTATATTTCATTTATTTGATTTGATTTAAAAATTAGATATAATCATATGAATAAAAAAAGTAATACTTAACTTACTTGACTGTCCCGTCAGAGACAAAACTTTATTGTATTCAAAATAAAATTCAAAGTATTTGTTAGAACGCCTCAAGGTCTATCCAACAATTCTTCAGGCAAAGTGAAGATAAGCCTCCAGATACCAGATTTTAATTGAACCCAGTGGGCCCCTCGCTTGCGTGATACTTCTACCGAAGCTGTCACTGCTTCCATAGTCGACTATATGATGTGTATAGCGTAGCGTACACTTATATTAAAAACACATGAGTAATGGTCTAAATCTCAAACATTCTCTGGAAAGAACGGAATAATCGTAATGTCTGCTTGATAAATTAAACACAAACCTTTCTTATTCAAGGCATCAAGACAATAACTGACAAGGAAAACATGTTGATTAGGTGGGAATACAAGTATGTATAAATCTAGAGAAGATATGTATACAAATTATATCAATCGGAATGTTGTCAACATGTCGTTAACCTTTTAAAAAT